GGGATATGGCTCAATGGAATAAGAGCTTCCCTGGCAAGTGCAAAGGCCTGAGTTCAATCCCTTGTTCCGCCCAAAAAAAAAAAGAAAGTGCTCTTGTCCTTAACTGTGGTTGGCAAGCTAGTCCTAAAGCCAGCCTTTTTCCCTTTTCCCAGAATCAGCATTCTGCTTTGGGAGTGTTCTCATGTTCTTAAGTAGACTTCACACCAGTCTTAGGTGATTTCTGTTTAGGGCTCTGCTTCCTGAATCTTGGAAAGTTCCATGATGGTTTGGTTGCTTCGTAGCTATCTCTAGTGCTAGCCTAGTACATCCTTCTTATTTCTGCTGCTTACCTTTGTCAATCAGAATATCCAGTAGGATACATTACTCATAAGAGAGCCTTTGTAGATCAACTCACATGGTCAGGGGCTGCATAGTGCCACAGTGGGTATCTGCAGGCTGAAAAACCAGGGAAACTGGTAGTTGGCTGCTTTGTTCAAGAAGCGGGAAGGCTCAGGTCTAGAGGATCAGTGATGTAGCCCCAGTCTGAGGCCAACAAGAGCCTGGAGGCCCCCGGAAGCCTACATCCAAAGACTGAAGAGTTGAGTCTGGAGTCTTCTGCGGACCACAGAGCGAAGCACCCCATACCTGCCTGAGGTGCAGAGTGAGCCTAGTGTGAGTGCCTGTGTGAACCTGGATGACCCACAAGCCAATCTTCTCTGGATATCCCCTCACAGACGCCCAGAAGTGTGCTTGGCTGGGTTTCTAGGCAGCCCGCCTCCCAGGCAAGTTAACAGCCAGTATTACCTGTCACATCCCAACTTTTAAGTTTATTGGTGTTTTGTTTTGCCAGGTTTATACCCTTTAGAAAAATTCTGTTATTGTAGCTTTAAAGTGGCTTTGAGAGAGCTGAGCTATTCAGATTGCTATCTGTGGAGTTTGTGCTGCTTTTTATTTTATTTTTATTCTTCATTTTTTTTTTGCGGAACCAGGGATTGGACTCAGGCCCTTGCACTTGCCAGGGAAGCACTTATTCCACTGAGCCATCTCCCCGGCCCTCAATGAGCCATCTCCCCAGCCCCCTGCTTTTTATTTTAAAGCAGAATAGTCTTTTTAGTGATGTTTGATAACCAAGCCTTTAGATTAGAAGATGCTGGCCAATTCCAATTAATTAGGTGGAGTCACTTGAAAATCTTAGAGCTTAAAAAATTCACTTGTCTACTGAGTTCAATCCCGGTTCCACCAAAAAAAAAAAAAAAAAAAAAATCACTTGTCTAGGTATTCTCCTTACTGCCTAAACTTATTTGAGTTATGTTTTTCCAGATAGGATCTCCTGAAATGGCTGCAAGGAAATAATACATTTGTTTTACTTTTTTTTTTGGAGACAGGGTCTTGCTAGGTAGCTCAAGCTGGGCTTGTGGTCACAGTGTAGCTTATGCTGGCCTGGAACTCAGAGCATCCCTCCTGCCTCAGCCTTCAGAGTGCTGGGATTACAGACATGGGCCACTGTTCTTAGTTCATTGCTCTACTTTTATTTTATTTTACTTTTTGAGGTGAAGGGGATTGAATTCAGGACCCTGCGCTTACCAGGCAAGCACCATTGCCCTACCTTTAAAACAAGTAAACCTAAAAGAATTTAAATGATTTGGGTAGATTTTCCCTTTAAAGGCTTTTGGGAGATAGCACTGGGGAATCTGAGGCAGGAGGGTTGTTGCAATTTGGAGATTAGCCTGGGTTAGGAAGTGAGCTCAAGGCCAGCCTGAACTGCATAGCAAAATCCTGTCTCAAAAATGACAACAACAAAAAGGGTTTCTGGAAGAGAAAAATAAAGTATTTGCAAGCCAGGTCTGACATAAGCCCATATCAGCTTTTATTAACCACTCTGCTTTCATTCCCACCTCAGTTATTTGGTAGAAAAGGAAAATGCAGCATTTTCAGGTTTTATTGTGAAATTTATGGGAACAGAAGCCCACTTAGCTAGCCAGCCTTGGGCCACTGTCTTGAGGGTACAGCTGTGGGACTGCAGCAGGGTGCTGCTTCCTGTCCCCAGGACCCCACCTGGTCCTACGCTTTACCCCAGG